GATTGGATGTTTAGGAAATTCTAATGGGTATCAGAAAAGTGAAATTTCCAGGGCAACTCTATAAATTTTCCTAAAATGCCAATGAAAAAACCTGCAAAGAGCAAGTTTTTGTTTTCGTTTTTTGCTTGTATTTCTATGAGCTTTGGTCTGTTTTGAACAAACTATATATTAAAATGTCCAGCTCAGTGAGCTGAACAACTTTTTAATAGGTAAAAAGATAGGTTTAATTAGTAAAATGTTTTATAAATAAACAAAAACCAAAATTTTGGTTTTTCAACTTTTCTCAGAGCCGGATGTTTTTGGAACTTAAAACCCAACCTTCTAGGAGCAGAAAAGTGTACTGAATAACTTTATTTAAAGGGCCAAGTAAGGTTTACTTAGTAGAAAGTTGAGAAATAATTAAATATTTTTTTATAGTTTTGGTATAAGTGATCTACAGAAAGAGTTGCTAAATATCTTTTGCACTTAAATATTTATATAATTAATAATAATAAATTTAAATATATTTATATAGTTTATATTTTGTATATTGTAGTATTTGTCTACTAAATTAATCTGTTAAGATCAAATATATTTTATATAAATAATTAATTAATGAATTTAATCAAAGCTCTAAAGATCAAAGTAAAAATTAAAAACTTTTAGATAATATTGCAGATACAATTAATAATAGTAAATTTTGGTTAACTTTATTTAGATTTAAAAAATTTTATATTTTTTATATAGTTTTTTAAATAAACTTCAAAAAACTTAATACAGCTCTATGAAGTTATTTTTTGTTTTGCTTTTACTAAATCTAGAATAAACCAAATTTGTTTTATATATAAAAAAAAATATTTATATTATAAATGCTATACTTTTTTATTTAGATTATCTGATTAGTATGACTATAATCTAATTAAAAGTTGCATATATAGACTATTTAGATAATCTTTAATCTTTAATATAAATATGCTATTTAAAAATATAATAGTATATAAAATATATAATTATAATATTAGGTTTAAAGATAAAATTCTTTAAATATTCATTATATTTATTTAATAAATATTTATAATTTTAGTTATTTGTAAATAATATTTAGATTTTATATAGATACTTAAATAACTAAATAAAATATTTCAAAATTAAAATCAGAAAGTCTTATTTTTATTTTTTTAATTTATAATTTTATTGAAAAAATTCTATTTATTTTCAAAATATGTTGCTTATTTTTTAACTTTAAAACCTCAATAAATTCAAATTTATATAAATTTTGTATAAAAAAATATTTACATTTAGTTGAGTATTTATTTTTAAGTATTATTTATTTTTTAAAATAGTAGAAATAATAAAATATCTCTCTAGCAATATATGTGAGTTGCATTGCATCCTATAAATTTGTTAGAAAAGTATTTTAATTATTTTTTATGTATAATAGAATAAATATATTATTTATTATTTTATATAATAATATTATAATGATTTGTATTACTAATTATTTTTATTACATTTTTTCATCTTCACTTGTATTGTTAAAATTTTCAAAAATAAAGTTTAGGTAGACAAAGTTCTATTAAAAAAACAATTAGTCAAGATTTTGCTACCATCTGGGTAAGAATTTATTTTATTAAAAATAATTAATATTTAAGTATTAACTTTTTGATTCTTTTGAATTGACCTAAATAATAGTTTGATGCCAAATTAGAAAATAATATATTGAAATTTCAAAAAAGTTATCAAAAAAATTAAATAATAATATAAAATAGTTATATTTTATATTTTAATAAAATGCATAAGTTTTATAAAATACGATTGTTTGCTATTTTATATATTATAATCTCAGTGTGAAAAAGAACATGTACCCTTCTGCAGTTACTATAATAATGAATAAAATAACTTTAAGAATGTCTAGTGAGATGAAAGTAAACAATTCTATATAATTTCCCTTTAGTATAATTTGAAACTGTTTATAAAATATCAAAATAATTATGAATTAGAATGCTTGAGCAATTACATTGACTGTTATCCTTATAACTATTCTTTGGTGGATGTTCTTTTAGAAAATTAGATAATCTAGTAGCAGGTTTTGGAGGAAAATTATGATTGCTTAAATAATCAAACATTTTTATAATCAAACTTTTGCTAAATATTTTTCTGGAAAATAAGATTGAATAATTACATTCAATCATCTGTTATTTTATAACTGTTCATTGCTGGATACTATAGATTATATAATTACATTCAATTGCCTATTATTTTTATAACCATACTTTGTTAGATCTTTTCTAGAAAATTAAATTGAATAATTGCAGAAATATTTTCATAACCACTTTTGCTGGATATTCTCCTAAGGTATTAAACTGAATATTACAGTTAAATGGCTGTTAATTTGAAACCATCCATTGGTGGATATTCTTCTGGATAATTATGTTCAATTACTTGTTATTGTAACCATTCTTTGTTGAATATTCTTTTAAAAAATCAGAATATTTAGCAGTAGAACATGAAGAATTAAGAATATTTAAACAACACATTCCATTTCGCTAAAGTTTCGCCAGTTTTGACTTTCGCCGGGCTTAGCTTCGTCTTTCGCCAAAAATAGGTTTGTTATTAACAAAGGATGGCAATTAGTCAAATTATTACTATCTAGTCTAATCATGATTTTACTTATTCAAACATATTCTTACAAAAGCACCAAGAAAGTATCTCTTTTATATACATTTTATTACAGTGTTAGTTACTAATTTTCTTCTGGTGGTTAACTTTTACTCATTGGTTAGTAACCGCCTCTGACAGTTCATAACCAATGGTCTATCCGATTTTGGAACACAGCCGATGGAGCTTACCAACCTCAGTACAATAAACTAAAATGGATGCAAAATAGGAATTAGGGAAATTGCTTATTAAATTTCTATTTCTGAGGATTGCTAGCATGTACAAGTTAGTGTTACGTACTTTTTTGATTTATGCAATATGTAAATCAATATGTAGGACACAACGTTTCTGGAATAACACTGGACAAATAAGTAAATCCATTTTAAACAGTCAGCATTTCTATATATTGCTGTATTGTATAAGAGCAGATTACTGGGTTTCACAGCAGTAGTTTAGGTGAAAAATCCGTCATTCTACAGTGTACGACTTAAATTCTTAATCCTTTTGAAATGTTAATGTTGCCGAACGAATGTTTTTTAGAAATATTTAATAACCTTCATGCTGATTATTCAAGTTTATTTTCATGCCTTCTTGTAAACCGCCAATGGTGCAGAATCATTGTACCAATATTATGGAGCAGACCAACAGATTATTTAGGTGACAATAAACTTATAAGAATATATCTTCTAACATTAAATGCTGAAGAACAAGCTCTATTAATCCCCTTTAAAATGATTATTCCAACTTATCCAAGACCGTTATTTGAGTACACAAGTTATACTATATCAATTGGTTCTCATTTGGAAAATGGTGTTAATGATTGGCTTGTTAAAGAATGTAATATGAATAGATCTAATGATTTAACTTTTATCGAAAATGCCGTTAAATGTTCTTTAGTTACAATGTTTTTACGAACAAGTAAAAAACTTGAACATTTGACACATATTTTTAGTTCCACAGCAATATGTATAAAAACATTGATGAAGAATATTAGTATAAGCATTAGTTTGACTTCTTTAGAACTTTCATTTTATCAATTTGATTTTGAGGAAGGGAAAGCATTGGCAGAAGTTCTTTATAAAAACAACAATTTAACCGAATTAGATATTGATTTTTACAGTAGTAGTTTGGAGGGTGGAAAGGCATTAGCAGAGGCTCTTTGCAAAAATACTGCTTTGACTTATTTAAGCATTCTTGAGAATCGACGTGATGTTATCTGTACGAAAGCATTATTAGAAGCTCTTTTTAAAAACAACACTTTAGCACATTTATTTATTGGTCAAATTGATTTTGAAGGTGTAAAAATATTAGCAGATGTCCTCAACATAAACACTACTTTGGATTCTTTACATATTGGTAATTGCCATCTTAGTTCTGAAGCCGTAAAAGCAATAGCAGAAGCTCTTCGTAAAAACACCACTCTAACAACTTTATTTATCGATAAAAATAATGCTGGTTTTGAAGGTGGAAAAGCATTAGCAGAAACTCTTTGTAAAAATAGAACTTTAACTTATTTAAATGTCGGATATAATAATATTGAGTTTGAAGGAATAAACGCATTGGCAGAGGCTCTTTGTATAAACACCACTTTGACTTCCTTAAATATTTGTGGTAATAGGGTTGATTTTAAAGGAGGAGAAGTATTTGCAAGAGTTCTTCGCATAAACAATACTTTGACTTCTTTAGATATTGGATGTAATAATATTGGTTTTAAGGGAGGAAAGGCATTGGCAGAGGCTCTTTACATAAATACTACTCTAAGATCCTTAAATGTCCGGGAAAATAATCTTGGTTATAGAGGGGCAGGAGCATTCGCAAAAACTCTTTGTAAAAATATTACTTTAACTTCTTTAAATCTTAGTGGTAATGAAATTGAATTTTACGGGGGATTGGCTTTAGAAAGGGCTCTTCGTATAAACAATACTCTAACATCCTTAGATCTTTCTTTCAATAAGCTTAATTATCAGCTTAATGGAGACACTTTATTATAAGATTACATTGAACTACCTAAATATTGTTGGTATTTAATTGATTTCAAAAACTGTGAAACACAGACAGAACGATTGCTTTATTTTATGCATCATAAGTAGAATTTACCGCAATACGTTTAAGGCAGGGTTGGCAATGGAGCCAATGGGTCTTAATGGTTACGTGAGTGGTGCTCAAAAAACTAGTATTCATTGGCATCATTCAGAGATCCATTAACTCCATTACCAACCCTGGCCTAAGAGGATTGGTGACAATTACAAAAAAGACAACTGCTGAATGTATATGAAGATACAGATGATTGTATAACGACATTAGTAAAAAATTTATTGAATGTTCGTGCAAAAAGATACAATTCCTATTGTATTGAGTGAAGAGCTGTTGTTTTCCAAAGGATATTATACATTCGAGTTGATTATAACTGCATATTCACTATATTATATCTATTTTATTAATTAAATAAATATATAAGACATCGCCAATATACCTAATACAATTTATAAAATATATAATATACTACAAGAAATATTAGATCTACGTGTCGGCCTTCAAACAATATTTGCATTTGCGATTGTTTATTATTATTTGTCACATGGTATTTAATTACAGGGGTTAGCAGTAGAGAGTAACCTGAGTAACTTGAATAAAACAACTCAGAGCTCAACATTGTAAAGTATACATAACATCAAGTCGATTGTCTAAATGACCCCAATTATTCGGTTGGTTAGATAATTTTAGTGTAGTTTTTATAATATGTTATTCCTATTCCAACTCATACCTACTCTGAAGCCATTTTCCACTTTTCAACAGACAAATTCGTCACGTAACTTAATGATCACTTGCTATTGTAAAAGATAGAGTTGTGATCCGTGAATTACAATAAATATAAATAAGGGAAATTTACACATAAAGGCCCAAAAATGAAAATAATTACGGATGAGGGCCCAAAATAAAGATTCTTTCATATAGCGGCCCCAAATCAAAAATTATTACAAATATGAGCCTGTTCGATCTCCGAGCTGTGCTAGGCGACTAAATTACAAGATTACATAGTGTCGCCCAGAAAAACAGTAGCCAGATTTTTTTGGATTACATGGGGCTTCGAAAACTGATTGTCAGTAAAGTTATAATGCATAATAATGGTAAATAGATTTTTGGATCTTTGTTTTAACTTTTACTTGATCTTTGTTTTAACTTCGTTTGGATTTTTGTTTTTATTTTCGTTTTGACTTGACTCTCGCTTTGACTATCGTTTTGATTTTGACTTTTGTTTTGACTCTTTTTTGCTTTAGACCTTTCTTTGACTTTCGGTTTAACTTTAGAATTTTTGCCGTGTTGAATTCACAAAAGTATAATTTCGATCAATCGTTTAAATAAGATATTTAAGTTCGTTAATATTCACATTTTGCTTCTTGTTTATTAAGTTAATTTATTTAGTAAATAAAAAGGATTTTAATGTTCAAAATAACCATAGCATATTATATCTTTTTATTCGTATTATTTAGTTATGTATAAAGATCTTTTTATCAAAAACGTTAAAATTCATAAAGCCATAAGTTTGTTAGTGAGATTTGTGATAGTATCTTTGGTTTTTTCATGTAAAAAAATTGCATCTTAAAGCTATTTTAGTGATATTGTATAATTATTTTAACCAGGCTGTCATTTTTTCTGGAAGACACTATGAAGTCTTATAGCTTAGTCACCTAGTATAGCTCGGAGATTGAACAGGCTCTTATTTATAATAATTTTTGATTTTGGGCGTTATGTGTAAAAATTTTTATTTTAGGCCCTCATCCATAATTATTTTCATTTTTGGGCCTTTATGTGTAAATTCTAAGTGCCCCGATCTCGAATTAGTAAACGAACCTAGCGTCGCCCGCAAAAAATGGTAGCCGGACAGATCTGCCGGGTACATGTTATTATGTGATTCGGACTTGATTATGGACAATTCAATTTATTTATGAATTGTTATCAAACAATAACTATGATCTCTAAGTTTTTCATAAGAATTTTTTTAATGAATAACATGAATCGCTTAAAATTTTATACCAGGAATCAGGGCTTAAAATCCTATAGTAATTTGCCGGCCTGCAGCCTATTTTTGATGTGTTTTTTCTCGATTCATCTTATTGTTTACTATACCAGCCAATTATACTATAGATCAAGAATGATACTTTTGAATGGCCGGTATTTCAATATAGTCTTTTAAGCCCTGCCAGGAATGGAGTATGAAATACGAAGAGTATGGTTTACGAAAGAGATAAGTGGTGTGTCTCTTCTGTATCTGATTGGATGATCATTGTCGTTATTAGGGATTTCTATATTTGTATGCTGCATAGGGCTTTGCACCTTAAAACGTGTACCAGTTTGGGTCCACATAATCTTCCGGCTAATTAGATCTGAACTACGGTACGATCGAATTATAACACTAAAGAGATTACGTATTCATTATATCATTAATTTATGCAAATATTAAAATGTTCTCTA